TAACTATGAAGAAGAATGAGCCAGAAACTCCTTAGTTATCACTTATGTTATGTTCTCCAATAAAATTACTATACCGAGTCTATCGAGAGTCAGTTATGCTCTAAACTAGTCTAGACCTTATTCATATTTATGTCAATTTAGGTTTAGCTCTACAATAGGAATGATGACGGGGTATGAAAATTAAAATCGTATTTAGTCCGTCAGTTAGGTAATGAAAAGATATTAGACACGTATTTTTTATTTGGTCGTGTGATAAAATAATACTTAGATAAAACGTATCAAAGTTTAGGAGTGGGGGCTAAAACGTCATTTCTACGTATAAAATGTACATAGAAGTGACGCGATATTTCAAATATAATATCGTCAAAAGTATTCGTTTCTGTAAGACAAAAAATACGTGTGAAATGTTTTAAAATAATCTACCAGACGGACATTAAAATAAAAATTAGTCGTCTATCCTATTGGTTATTCCTTTAAAGCTACAAGGGCGCCCTCTACAAAACAAAAAACTTAAAGAGAGCTATCTTTTATATGTACAAACTTATCTACCCAATCACTTAAAAAAATAACAAAAATTCTAACTAAATACGACTGTTGTTTTACTCGATATGGGAATGTAAGCAATATTTTTTTATTATCGTTTAATAGAATTAACGTAACGTAGACAAATATTAGACGCCAGAGTACCAAGCACGAATAACTATCGCAATCGTAACGTAATAGTATCGAGTGCGTTCGGCGCTCTGATTGGCCGGCTCGAGTGAACCAACCAATCAGAACACTTACTTCGCTCGATACTGTTACGATACGAATGCGATAGTTATTCGTGCTTGGCCCTCTGTTCATGTGACAATAGTGTTCTAACGATATAGAACCTTAAAGTGTACACTTAGGGACAAATGTCCTGCGACACGTGTCGCCAGCGACGTTGGGTGAAGTAGCGCGACGTTGGCGGACTTTGGTCGACATGTCTGGCAACATCAACGTCGTTGTGGACATATGGCGCGCGTTGTCGCCTTGTAATATGTCGGGTGAAATCGGCCGACTTGACTGCCTCATTGGCCGAGTAGTCGCAATTGCGACTGACGGGCAAGGGGCCTCGGGTTCGATTCCCGGGTCGGGCAAAGTATAACTGGGTTTTTTCAAAAAATCTCATTAGTAGCACGGTGTCTGGAATTGTGCCCGGTATATGGCAACAGGCTCACCCCCGTATTACATGGGACCCATAACATAAATAGTGAAAAGAGGATGTTACATTGTACAGTGGCATTAAGTGCCGTAATGTACACCTGTGCCTACCCCTTCGGGGATAAAAGGTGTGATGTTATGTTATGTTTATGTAAATCGGCCGGATTCGGTTGACGCGCCGATACATGTCGTAGGACATTTCGCCCCTGGTGAATCCTTGGCTTAATGCTCTTATATAACCATCTGGGTACTTGCCAACTAGTCAAATATTCAATACCTTTTTCGAACTGTCAAAAACGATAGTTTTGAATTGTGTACGAGATTGCGTATTGTGACGTCACGTTTTTTAGCGTCAAACAGCATACTTATTTCTTAAGAATTTGCTGGAAAAATACTAAACTTAAGTTAGTCATAAAATCAATTAATGAAAGTGTACATCGAAATAATTAATTTTTGATGAAGGCAAGTACCCAAATATATCAATATTTATTGTCATTCATGTAAATAGAATATATGACTAAAACAACAGCCTGTATCTCGGAATGTTCAGTTGTATCAATGGAAACAGAACTTAAATAATGTTGTATAAGATTTAAAGTTGTCTGTATGTAGGTCTAATAAAAGAAATCTCATAAATTATTTTTATTAATGACGCTAGATATTATTAATAATGTTGTGTTCTATGTTTAATGAAAGGGAATGTTTACAAGCTGTGCCATTATGCCAGTCTAACACTTAAATGTGAAATAAAAAATCGACATTACCTACCTGTGCTACAAATACTTAATGTCTTGGAGATTTTTGTATCCAAATAATTATTCCATGATCATCATCAAAAACAGCCTATAAATGCCCACTGCTGAGCAGAGCCTCTTCTCAGACGGAGAAGGTTTGAGCATTAATCACCAAGCTTGCTCAATGCGGGTTAGCGATTTCAAACTTGTAATTAAAAATTATAAGTCCAGGTTTCCTCACGATGTTTTCCTTTACCGTTTGTCAGTTGTGTCTAAATAATCTTAGAAAGTACATATAACTCGGAAAAAGTCACATTGGTACTTGTCGTTGGTTGGTTTCGAACCGGCAGAGATGTTCATTCATCAGAAGCGGGCGTCTTAAACCTCCAGGCCACCACGACATATTACAATTATTCCATACACACATATACATTCGTGAAAAATATTATGTGGTTAAGTTTAAATGCTTAGAGTGGCTAGTAGATCAACCTACTACAATCTGTCATTGGATTTTCGTTTTTATGTCAATAGAATAAAGTTGAAGATGTAATAGAGTTTGACAATAAAGAATAGGTTGACATACAATAATTCAAATAAAAAGTTATCATTGTAAAAGAAATAATAAATAAAGTGCAGTACCTACTTAGGCAGATACCACGATGTGTATTGCACTTAATAGCTTTGTGAAACATTGTCTTTTATTTATTACTTGTGTATATTGAGCCTAATTTATTCAACTTTATGTTTTTGATTGATGCACAGCAATGATTTTTGGCACCCAAAAGGGTCTTGTCTATTTTTAAGTGTGGGAGAGCCATGCTTCGGCACGAATGGGCCAGCTCGACCGGAGTGCTACCACGGCCTCACAGAAAACCGACGCTTGCGTTGTGTTTCGTCGTGTGAGTGAGGTTACCGGAGGCCCAATTAATCTCCCCTTCCCCAATCTCCCCAATCCCTGAATCCCCAACGATCCTCAAACTCCTAATCCCCAAAAGGCCCGTAACGCACTTGTAACGACTCTGGTGTTCCAGGTGGCAATGGGCGACGCCGATTGCTTACCATCGGGTGATCCGTCTGTACGATTACCGGCTTATGCCATAAAAAAAAAATTCTTTGTTACGAGAAATAATATATTAATTGACTTTAATGTACGTAAACCTAGGTATTTTAAGTCAATATAATATGTTATGTAGTAATTGAAATATTATTATCTCTATAATATAAAAATAAATCACTAAATGTGTTACTAACCACAAATCTCGAATACAGCTGAACCAATTTCGTTAATTCTTTTATGTTGGGTTTGCAATTGTTACAATTTTTCGCAGAATTTTTATCAAGCCGAAACAAAGTACCTATGCTAGGTCCGCTAGTTAAAAATATTTAATTGCAATCTGCTGTGCAACAATCAAACAATTATTTATGTTACCAATATAATGTGTAATATTAATTGAAAATAAATATGTAAGTAACATGAAATATTTTAACTTTGTGATAAAAAAGTGTGTACAAAATATATATTTGAAAATAAAACTAAAACATTGTTTTATTATTTTTATATGAAATGTACAATATTCCATTTTCGAGCTGTAATTATTAATATTCGATAGATTTGATTTGTTAGTCCGGCAAAGCACTACGCGGTTTCTAGATTGTCAAAAACATCACGCTTCAACCAATAGGAGCTGAGCAGAGCGTGTGCAACCGCGCGGAAGTAGCTAGTTAAAAATATAATTAGTCCGTGGTAGGTAATGAAAAAATATTAGACACATATTTGTTTTATTTTGTCGTAAGTATAGTAAAACAATACTTACATAAAACGAATCAAAGTTAAAGTTAGTAATAAGTTTAGAAGTGGGGGGCTAAAACGTCATTTCTATGTATAAAATGAACATAGAAGTGACGTCACGCGACATTTGAAATCAATATATCGTCGAAAGCATTCGTTTCTGTATAAAAATACGTGTCTAATAATTTAAAATAATCTACCAGACGGACATTAAAATATCAACTAGGCATCTACCCTAAATAAAAAAATATTATATACCCGAGCGCCTCAAAGAGTCATCAGACCACCATGGATGGGGCCTAATTAAGGGCTGATACCGATACGGAGCCGCGGAGAACCTAACGGGTCACCGGGGCTCCGGCTCGAAGAGCAGGAATAGGAATGGTTTTTAGTTAGTCAGTAAGAGTCTGACACTCCCTCTCGCCTCACCTAGGCGGGAGAAGTGATGATATTTCCCACTTAAAAAAATACATAAACAAAAATAAGTAGATAGGTATTTATTGATTTCATCTTGGATTTCATGCGTTTCGTTTACAAAACAAATCGTATAAAACGTTTTGATATTGCTTTTCTTGTACCAACTAATGTCTAAAAATTAAAATGAAAACAGCAGTCGTTTTAAATAAAATATTCAATGCAGTTGTGTTCGAAAATAAATTTATGGTAAAATAAACATTTATAAAGATTTAATTCACTTTATTGACCCATTTGAAACGTGATTTACGAAATATTAATATTTTTTTTTGAAAGCGCTCACACATTTTTTATCTGTTAATTTATGAGCTGTCTTCTGTCGTTACAGTGCAATAACAAAACGCGTTTGAAGTGTTGAGTTGTTGATTGTAGTTTGCATTTGTGTTCTAATTTTTTTATTTTTCCATCAGTTTTATGTTAGTTTCACTAATGTTTTTGGCTCCACCTTAGTTTTAGGATGACAATGGAAAGGAGGATAAAGTTAAAGGCATTAAACAGTCACATTACTTGCAAAATATGTCGGGGCTACTTCATCGACGCGACCACGGTCACCGAGTGTCTTCATACGTGTTAGTGCTTCTCTAATTTCTGTTGATTTATTTAGTGCTGTCTTTATTAAGAATCCTAAATAATACTGTGTTCACAAATCTAAGAATGTTTTACAAAGTGTTTTATCGAAGCCAATGACATTCAAGATCATAGAAACCGATCAATATTTCCCGCTACATTTTTAACTTGATCTTCATCTTATGGCAAAGGACAAACCCTATAATGCCTAGCACCAAAGACCGTGAATTAGGAAGTAGGATTTACAACCTCTTTTGTTTTATTACAGTCTGTAAGAGCTGCTTAGTGAAACATTTGGAGGAGAACAACACATGTCCAACATGCGACATAGTGATACACCAGTCCCACCCGTTACAGTATATCAGCTTCGACCGGACAATGCAGGATATAGTGTATAAGTTAGTGCCAGACCTGCAGGACAGTAAGTATTTCTCTTTGTAAGTTCGTAACAAGGAGGTTTTATGCAGTAATCTATAGCTACACTCTACAGTTTAAGTTGAAGAATCCATTGTCTAGGATTGAAGGTCCTCTATAGAGTCTATATGAAAATACAAATATAATGTTATATTCTTCAATTAGTTGTACTGATGAAAGTCTTATTGGTGTGGCTTGAAACACAATTTTATGAAGGTACACATCATTATATTGTGTAATGCATATTTGTAGTTAACTGTTACCTAAAATAAAAAATAAGCTTCCATCTGAGACAGTAAAAATGTGTATAATTCAATACTAAATGCAAAACTAACTGATTCCAGATGAAATAAAACGTGAGCGTGATTTCTATCGAGCTCGCAATCTGCCTTGCCCCAAGGATGCGGCCCTGGCTGCAGACAAGCCTGGAGCCGATGAACCTGAACAGCCAGATAACACTGACTGTCATAGAAAAGATGAACAGGTAAAGAAGGATAACAATAATAGTTTTAGTACAAAAATGTGTTGCAAGTTATATGTGACATGTTACATAGGTTAATTTTATCTTCGGAATAGTGTAGAAAATGCATTCTGTGGTTTGTGCTTACTTCACATGGTACAGGCGATAGTGTGTATGGTACAGACAATACATACTCCACCTACTTAACTGTACAAGTAGTGCGATTTTAGAGTGTAAATACTTACTACAATTCATGATTTTTGTCATTCATTTTCTATCCTATTGCCATATTTTCACTGTAATAATGGTCTATCTCGATGCTTGTTCTCCATGCAAATCTACACTTTGGAACAAGCTTTAGTTACACATTACTATGCATGAATGTATGTATGAATTATTTAAAGTGACTTTAATTAATCTTGTTTATTGTTTGTATTGCAGGTGAATGTATGCCTGGAGTGCATATCAACATCGCTACGGACACTGAAGCGCAGCTTCATCCGGTGCTCAGCACAAGCCACAATCACACACCTCAAGAAGTTTATAGCTAAGAAAGTTTTAAGCGGAATGGAGAAGTATAGAGAAGTAAGTTATAATGTTATATCTTTTTATTGATTTAATCTTTTGTGTCTAAAATGCAAATCCACCCGAGACACAATATATTTTCTCAATAGAAAATACATTATTTAATCATGTACTTTTTTACATTATTTAATTTTATAATTTGCTTTTGTTGTTGCCCATAATATTAAAGGTTCATATGACTAAATGAGTGCCAATGAGTTAAATTGATGTTTTATCTGGTTAGAGTTCTTCATTAAACAGTTGTGTACAACAGGATTAATTTGATTTTGTTCTTTTCAGATTGACATTCTATGCAACGACGAATTATTAGGCAAGGACCATACGTTAAAGTTTGTGTATGTGACACGTTGGCGATTCCGAGACCCTCCACTGAGACTGCAGTATAGGCCTAAGATTGACTTGTAGGTGGATGGTATTTTTATATTTAATACATGTAATACAACTACACTACCCGGCGACAAACATTATACATCAGGAAGAAGAAACATTTTTATAATACGATCATTTCATTGTACAAAACCTTTAATCTTTTTGAGGAAAGAACTTGACTAATTTTAGCATACACGCAGTCTCTTTCCATATGTAGATGTGTAATATTTATTGACGGATACTGTAATACGACTTCACACTTCCTTTTCTAACACTCAAACATAATCTAGGCCTAGGCCTCTTTATTTTTATACATATTTATTTGAAATAAAGTAGTTTTCAAACATAGGACAGCATGTCCTTTTTATGTGGATCATAATATTATAATTGCATTTGTAATCTATATTTGTAATCTATAAATATTTATTATCTGTGCAACTTTGACAGTCTGTAGTGCAATGATGATCTTACCTTTACCATATTGACTCAAGTATGTAATTTTAATCTACAAGGAAGTGTCTATTTGTATTTAGTGTTAAGAAGTTAAAATTTTATTTTATTTTACCTCCCTGAAAGTCAAAATGTTTTAGGTCAATTCTATGTGTATTATTAGTTCAATTAATTCTTATATTTTATGTTTCAATGTATATTTTAGTTTTTGTTACTTTTGTTAGCATGCTTCAGTTATTATTTGATAAAATTAAATTTAAAAGAAATCTCGAAGGGTAAAAGTATTATTAACGAATACTTTTTAATTCTAATTAATTAATTGATGGATATATTTGTAATCTAGTTTTAATGCAATAAATATTTAAAAGTGGAATTAAATTTCGATGTTTTATTTTTAGAAATTAGATAATAATCCTCATTCCGGTGATTGTGAAATTCTCAAAAATGGGTTGTTTTCGACATCTTAAAACTCTTTGTAGTTACATTACATCTATTCTATTCTAATATCCAAGTGCGTACAACAAGAAGTCAAAGTAGTAGAGGTACTGATAACTCCTATTTAAATAAATTACCTGAATTGTCGATATTACAGTTAAATTAAAGTGATTAAAATATAAATCGATACATTTTGTGTAATGGCAATGCGAATTCAGTGATAAAGAACTTAATGAATTAATAAAATTATATTAAAATCATTTTTGCAGTTCAATGTAGTAATACAAAAAACCGGTTTTCACAAATCGACTAAAGTTACCACCGATCCACATCACTACGTTTGACATTTATGCTAACAATGTGTGCGTAATGCAACTGTATTTATTTATAGTTCTCCGTGTGTGAGTAAATTGAAAATGGATGGCCGATAGATTCCCGTTTGGCACGTGAATAGAAATATTTTTATTTATTTAATTGTAATTATCATTTGTCCGTCAAACTGGGTGCCAAAACGGTAGAGCGTTTCTTCAGTCTAGCAGACGACAACTTTGTCGAAGATGTCAACGAAGACCTGAAATGTTTTATTGCCGAAGGAAGAGTTGACAGGTAAACAATTTTATCTTTATTGTTATTCAGGGGCATTATATCGTTATTTCCGATTTTAGTGTATTTGTGTTGATAATTTGAGGTTGTAGAACCTGTTGTAGGCTGTAGCGGTATCGTATTATCGCTTGGACATTTTCAAGGTTATTAAGTGTCAAGCGCAAACAAACGTAGGTCGCAAATCAAATGATGCGAGGCGAGATGACACCTTGAACACTGATAAAATATTCACAGAGCCGCAAAAAGTGCGGCAACATGCTGTTTCCGTGCCCGATAATTACCGGTATATTGCACGCACGGGAACGCTAGTTTCTTCGCAATAAATCAAACCTAGCCGTAATGCAATGCTGGTAAATCCGACTTTTTATATGAATTGTATTTATTATCATGTAAAATTACATCTATTTTTTACCAAACCCTTTTTTTTTCTATTTAATTTAAACTTCTAAAATATCATATAGTTATTTTACAATATAAACTGGATAGAAATGACAAAAAAATCTTATAGCTATTTTCGGCATTTAATTAATAATACCTATCAGAAATACTTTTTTAGTGTTGATTTTTTTAGAAATTGTTGTTTAAAAAATGACAAGGCTATATAAACTGTATGTATAACTTAGTATATCCAGTAAATCAAAATAGTGATGTTATAAAAAATCGCCTCACCCAGGCGGGAGCAGTCATTCAATGATTTTCCCCCCTTAAAAAAAAAAAAGTATATCCAGAAAAATAGTGATAATATAAATACTTGACATGTGTTATTTTTTTGTTTATAATAACAAAATCTCTAGATAAAAAATCTAGATAGCAACAAAATTTAAGCATGTAAGTAAATATTTTATCTAGATTAAAAAATCTAGATAAAATAGATTAAGTCTATCTACATAATAAGTGTAAAAGCTACTCAAATATGCCTCCATGGAAGATTTTAAATCCAATTAGTATATGTTTTAGTAGTAGACTTCATAAGAAAATGTCAAATGAATAATTGATGAACAAAACAAACAATAAAATATGTTTAGTCACCTATTTAGAATGTTTTTAATACCAATAAATATTATCACAGCACCAAAGAGTTCTTAGCTCCGTAAAAAATAAAATTTAATAGACCTCAGACTATTTTAGGCAATAGAAATGCCATGTTACATGCACCTAGCTTTCCTTGGATTGACTGATGAAATATTTTATCTATGACATTTAAAAAATGTGCACCTTTAATATCCTTTTTTGGTTCCAGCGTGCTAGTGTTCCCTCCAGTGAGTAACTACCGCCGGTTCCTGATACACAATTCAGTGGAACAGCTTGGTCGGCCAGAACTTGCCACCTTCTCAATCGGAGTCAGTGACGAACGACGCACTGTGGTGTGCTACCGGGAGAGATTGTTAAGGTAATTAATATCATGAATAAAACATACAAGCAGTTTAAGATTGAAGCATAAAATTCTTTATACGAATTTACAAAAACACATATGTATAAGAATTCCGACCACAGAAACAATACAACAATGAATATAAAAAAAATTGTTAAAACTTTATAAAAATCTCTGTCGGTAAAGTGAAGTTTACTGTTTATTCTAGCTCACCTAGGGTTTCAATAGAAGAATAGAACTAAATGTCAACAAATATCGATCTAAATCCAAAGATCTTGGATTGAAACCTTGGTTAACTTCCTTCATAATTCATATATCTAACTAATCATGTGAAATCGTTCTCCTAGCCACTCTACCCAATAACTCGAGTGTGAGATCATAAACTCCTACATAGTTACTGCAACACTCAAAGTTTACGAAGCATGTATCACCTTACGTGATCGACGTCCATTAATGTGTGAAAATGCCGAAGCAATCATACGCTGATATTTTATCTTAAGTAATATCTATGTAGCGGCAATCTGTCTCGCTTTTTTTTTATACACTCATTGAAATCTGTGGTTATGAATGATTTATTGAACATCACTTACGTACAAGAATGAGATAAAAAAAAAAACAAATGATGCCTGCTAAGTTAAAAAAAAAAACATCTGTTTGTGTATTTGTTTTTTATTATTTTTTTTTTGTTGGTAATAAATAGCAACTCCTTGCGGTGAAATAGAAGAACTACTGTGGCAATAAAATCTTTTGTTCGCATTCGTTTTTTGTAAACATTTTATTATCTTTTCATTCGTTCCTTTTTTCTTTCACTCACTCATTCATTCATTCATTCACTTCCTCCTGGAGTTGTTTAGTAAACAGTGGTACATTTCCAGTGATGAAGCTTGCGCGCGACCAGCAATGGGCCTGACACAGACGGAACGCGATGATGCTACCATATCACAAACAGGTGAGTTACCTTAAATACCATTTATTTAAATTTTGTTTACAGAAAACATAATGGTACATAAATAAAGGCGAGCTTAATGACATAAGACTTTTGACCAGCAATTCAGTACCAGCCAACCTTATGGTCAAGTTGAGAAATCAGGGAAAATAGGTTATTTTCATAAGTAAAAGTAAAGTGGCAGTCCATTGCTGGATTATGAGTATCTTCTTCATGAGATAATTTATTATATCGTAATTTCCCAGAGTTGCATATCACAGTTTAAAAGATGCAGGTTATATTATAGAGTGCTATTGCTCGGTCTCTGCGAAATTACATGTATGTCCTTTTATAAGCTCTTACTATATCCTCGAGAAGATAATTTTTCCATCTGTGTAGAATTAATTAAAACACCGAGCGAAAGTTGAAAACAAACTGATAAATACTTCCACTGACAGTATAGCTTAAACTGCTGTGATTAATGTTTGTAGGTACACTAGGTTTTTTTAAAAGCGTACCCAATATTATAAGTGCTAATTTTTTGCGCGATGAAGCGGGGAAATTGGGTAAGATCGTTGATTCGTAAATCATTAAGTGGGCTACAAATAATGCTTTTCAGAATTCGTGTTATTTTGATTCACTCGTATTATTGTAATCGACGTAAAGTCGAAAATACAGTAGTCAAATTCATAAACTAATCTTCTGTAAAATCGTAAACAAAATTATGTATTAGTTCATGAAACTTGTCGATTGAAAACATTCAACAAATTATTGCTAAATATTATGAAAGCTTATTCGAATAACAAAGTTATTCAAAAGAACCAGGTGCTTCCCTTTTCTCTCTCTTTCCTTTTAGACAGAGCGAGACAAAAAATGTACCGTTTGAGGTAAATGCACCAAAAACATTAGTCACACGGTCTAACCGAACGGTAAAGCTTAAACTGTATGATTCAGTTCGAGTTGAATTTAATAACATTGTACAGATTTGTAAGGGTCGTCTCCCAGAAAATAAACAAATAGGAACCTAATTTGGTTGAAACAAAATATTTATCTACGTAGTACAGTTTTCGGAAACGTGGTCTTATTATTTGGATTTGTGGTGTTTCATGCGCATTCACAGTATGCTTTTTTTTTTAAGGGGGGGAAATCATCGAATGACTTCTCCCGTCTTGGGTTAGGCGAGAAGTGTCAGACTCTTACTGACTAAAAACCACCCATTTCCTATTCCTGCTCTTCGAGCCGGAGCCCCGAAAACCCGCTAGGCCTTTTGCGGATTCACAAATGCTACCATACCACCGTTTTATCTTAGGGAGTCCTCGTTAAATAAATACTTGATGAAGTTTACGAAGTTGCAAAAAGTACAGTATCACCTAAAGAGCCTCAGGACAATCTTATTTGGCTTCTATTAGATTCACGCCTTTAGTCAAGAATACTCCCCGCCAGGCTTTAGTACTTGCCAGCGACAAAGTATTATATTTATCTAAGCAGATACACTAGGAATATCATAAAATGTATGTCTGTCTCTGTACTAAGATACCAGAAACGACTTACTGTTTAGTTTCCGCTTAGAAAGGTCAGTCAACGCAACAGGTCACCGCTACCCACCTATTTAGATGGTCGCTAAGGCATTCTCTTTAGTACGTATTTACTTTCCGGATAAATCAAACGGAGGCTTCTTAAGGAGCATTAATTTATTCACCTAAGGCCATTATTAATATGATCATCTACTGATGATGGGTTACTGCCCATGATAGTCCGCTGCTGGATTCTTCTAGACCTCATCTACATAAAGATCTACACGCTTGCCAGGTGCTTTAAAATCACAGTTTAAAGGACTTTATCAGATAGCTGAGATTTCGCTGCTTCCCGGTAAAATGTACAGTGTGTATCTAACTCCTCTGATACCCGTAGCAAGCGTAGCGGTGCTGACGTGATAAATGTCTACTACTCTGCCGTCTACCACATGGCTTGTTGTGCTTAGATTTACAGGAGTCTAATGATAACTCTGAGATCTATTTGTAATGGAATAGGTAAAGGGAATTGAATACACGTTAAAGTATCTTACTTCAAACCGCGACTGTGGTTATTTGATGTAACTTAACTCCCGTTATGACCATATTGCGTATCGAGACACGGGTTTCATACATACAACATTCACTACTTAATGTTCATTACAATGCATTTTTGTTAGGTTGATCCGTGTAATTAATTAATGAAATTATGTATTTATAAGTGCTATTGCATTCCGACCAGGATACAGACGATCAATCTTCCACGTTTCACGCTACTGTGATTTGTTTTACCCCAGTATTTATTGTTTATTGTAAAATGTATAATGTACACCGGCTTACACAATTGTGTAATTAAACCAAGTTAAAGTTATGAACTTCCTAGAGTTATGAAACCCTACATATTATTTGTATCATACGTTGTTGTTCCCACAACTTTCGCGGTATGTTAGCGTGTTCGCCTGTCGTTTGCACGAATGCAAGCGTGAATACTGCCTATGCCAAAATGGACGCGAACTGATGTAATGATTTCGAACTTTTTTTATTGGATTATCTATACTTATACAGCGTGGGTTTATTGAATTCAATAACTGTACTGAAGCCTTAGTACGAGTTTGTTTTTCGTTTAAAGTATTCGAAACGATTACGCATTCGGCACTCTGATTGGCCGGCGCCAATAAACCAACCAATCAGAGCGCCGACCACGTACTCGTTACTCGTACTAAGGCCTCTGTATGCTATACAGATTGAGCACTAAGTATTTGAAGGGTTTTTGAAGAAGGTCTTCGCTTATTGAACA